GAGCCTGTTTCATTCCCGAATGCAGAACTGCTCCAGAAGAGCTGTTATCTGTCAGTGCCAGCGCCTCCGCTGATGCATGGTGTGTCATCCAAAACAGCAGCCCAGTGCCACGAGCACCTCTGCTGCCAGCTGGCCCTGTCCCACTGACCAGCTCACTCACACCTCAAAGCTCAGCCCCTTTTTTGAAGCTGCCACTTATGGACCTGCAAATTTCCTTCCCCTTTCTGTTTCTTTTAATGAATATAGTGGATAATGGAAGTTGACAGATGATGGTAATTACAGTATGGTGGTTTGATGTTTTTTTTAACTTTCTTAAGAAATGTTCTAGGCATCCTAAGCATTTTAAGCAGCTGTTAAGATGGGTGTGGTGTCCTGGATAGCATAGCTGACTAAATACAATAACTATAGGGCAGGCCAGGATGTGACTTGAGCTAAACCAGTAACTGCTCTCTACTGAAGCTGAGAAATTAGCTTAAGGATTTCCACTGGGTTTGCAGCCCTTGCATTTAACTTAGATCTTCAAATGGAGGTTGCAGCTGTTCAAGAGGATCTACACTCTCTATGATTAAACAAATTGGCTGTAAGCATGTATGAATTATTAGTGGTAATAGTATGCAGTCTTTTTCCTTTTGGAGGGTCTGATCCACAGCTGTAGTTCCTTGAAAACAGAGGTGAATTGACTTGATGGGAAGGAAGGGGCTGAGGGGCTTTTGTCCAAGTCCAGTTAACACTGTGGGCTTTGAGGCACACACCACACTTTTAGTGCATAAAATAAGGGAGCTGAAATGCCAGTCCCTAACTTCACTGCTCACGCAGACTGTGGCAGTACCCCTCCTGTGGCAGTCATGAAAAATCCAGCTGACAGCAGTGGGACAGATCCAGCACCATTACACACACACTCATACATATATGCATACTTCAGGGCATAAAGCAAAACTTGTGAATTGTTTTTCTTACTGACTAGCAGGCTCTGAGTCTTTGTGGAAGTCTTACACTGAAGGTAGGTCCCTGAATTTGGCTCGTATCCTGCCTGTAAGAAGTAGCAGGAAATACAACAGCTTTGACAAAAGACCTAAATCCACAACAGGCACATAGGCACCAGTACAGGGAAATGTTTGAAGGTGAATCAAAACGAGCTGAAAACCAGGGATATCAAAGATGTCTAAACAACAGCTTTAAGACTTGTAGTGAGTTGGTACCTGTGACAAAATTGGTGTTTATAGGCATAAGCGTTTTTGCCTGACGGCAATGCAGCCCCATGCTCCTAGCAGTACCTTTGGTCTAAGGCAGGTTTGCAGTTCCTAAATGGAGAGTGTGAGCTCACCTGTGACTTTATACCTTGATCTTCACACATAAACATGCTGCTGCTTATGCTTCAGGGCCGTGTGGCAGCACTGGCAATAAGCAGCAGTTTCTCATTTGTTCTCATCATTGCAGTTGATGGGGGCTGCGAGCAGAAAAGAAGCTGCAGTGCTCGATGGCTGGTGCTCCACAATTGAAACTCAACACTGCCACAGTCCATCTGTGACTGGAGAGACAGCTGTCACTGGGGTAGGGGGATTTTTCGACATAGCACACCAGCTTGCCCTTCTTGGGTTTATTCATTTCTGGGAGGCACAGCTAATGATGAGGCTCAGTGGTCAGTGCTGTGAGCTGGTTATTAGACAGCATGGAGGAGCTTTAAGGGCAAGCATCCACGTGTGCATGAGGCAGTTGCTCCTTTGGAGAAATTCAACATTACAGGTAATTTTTGACTGTATCACCAAGATTTTTGTATAAGAAAGGTCCCAGTTTTACTCTCCGAGGATAGTCTCACCTGTCTCCCAGTTTAATTTTTCTGGATACATGCAACTTGATCAGAGAGCAGGACTAGATGTTATGTCTCTGCCTGAGCAAGCCTTATGTTTGAATGTGTATACTCTGTAGAGCATATAAGAATTTTGTGGGTTTTATGAAAGAGAAAAAGAAATCTAGGATTATTTTTAACAACAATTATCAATAATAATTGCAACTTAGACCAAAGTTACAGGCTTAGTCCAGGTCAAGGCACATTTGTGTGAGGTATTTTAAAAACCCAGTGACATAAGTGACATAGTCTGACCTCTAGAATATATTTTGATTGAAACTGGGCTTTGGACTTACAGAGATGGACTTCCAGAAATGGGTGTGATAGGGGGATGCAGAGGTCTCACAAAGGAAGGAAATATGTTGTCAAGGCTTGTGGCCACGGTACCAAGTGTAGCATCGGAGACAGAAAGGTACACAGTGTTTGGAGCTATGTTTGGAGGGTGACAGTGGAAAGAGCTGTTAATGTTCGTGGGAAAAAACCCCAAACAACAACCTGTTACTGCAACAAAACGTAAAGTGCTGAAAACAAACAGCCCTCTATGAAGGCGATGGGCATTAGACACCCTTGCCACCTGAGGAGAGTAATTGGCAAGTGCTGAGTAAGAGGTTGTTCTCGGTTTGGAGGGGCAGCATTGTCATGCTAATAGTCTTTTCACTTGCCTGCAGTGCTGCTGTTGTGTTGTCCTGGAAGAACTGGGCAGGAGGCTTTCCCAGGACCTGTGTGTGAGGAAAGGCTGGCTGCTGTTTCAGCTGGTCCAGTGCAGGCGGCTGCAATCCTGCCTTCCCTCCTACCCCTGCACACATATCCCTGCCCCTTGCAGTGGAGCCCTTTGAGCATTTGCAAAGTCTCCTTTGTTCAAGGACACAAGTTGATTTAAACCAGCCCAGTTCATTTTTGGCCAGAGCAGTTTCTGAGCTGTGATCTGCCTGGGCTGGCACTAGGCAGGTCATGGATTTCATGGCCAGTGTGGGAAGGGGTCAGAACCACAACAGAACTGGTCAGGAATGGCACAGTACACTGGTCTGTGAGGCTGTCTCTGGCATCTGGGTGCTCTTCCTTCCTTATCATCACTGGTGATGTTCCTCCTTGTGCCACTGGGTCCTGCCCATTCCTAGCACATCAGCCATGCTGTCAGAGTTGCACGGTGCCCTTGCTTTAACAATTCAAGTGAGAATCAGTCTTTTTTTCAGAGTCTTGTGTTTAACAAATGTAGACCCAGTTTTGGTTTAAGTTCCCTTGTCTGCGAAACATTCTTTCTGAGGATTTAATTAGAAGTGACTCTCATTTACATGGATTCTATCAGCTGCTGTCGGCTCTGCAGCGCTGGGAAAAAAAAAATCAGATGATACTGTGAAAACCATTAGCGAGGACATTAGAAGCAACCATATCCAGGTCAGACAAAGTTCTGAAAATACCTATCATTCATGTGTCCTTAATTGCTTTCCTTCCTTTACTGCTGTTGGGTGAAGGCACCATCTGAGAGGGGGCTGCCTCGGGGATTTCTTTTCCATTGTGTGATGTAGATAGGGACAAAGGGGCAGGCAGTGGCTGGTCAACAAGGAAGAGAAGAAGTAGACTTGAGTAGCAAGATGACATTTGAACTTAGTGGAGGAAGTTCTGAGGAGCTAATATTGGGCCCTAAACAGGGGGAGATGTGCTTGAAGGAGTAGCAAAGGGGTTGCTGACCTGCTTTGCTAACAGTCGAGATGCTAAGAGAAGGGTGAGATACCACTTCTGGACTTCAGTGCCTTGCTCAGGTGTGTCTTTGAGCAAGTCAAGAACATAAGAAGGTGATTTCTGTGTCTCACAGAAGCATCAGAAATATGAGACGCTTACGCATCTTGAGGATGGAGATCATAGAGATGCAGAGGCAGCTCCAGGTCCTGAGTCAGAATCGCTCTGAGTACCCCTGTTAGTCTGCTGTGACATCCACAGTGCCCCTGTCACCACACTCAGGGCTTCGCTGCACCAGGAGCAGGACAGCAGAAGTGCTCTGCCAGGGAGTGCATTGTCCTTATTGTCAAGAGAGGAAAAGTGAGGTGGCTATGAGGTCAAGGGACTTGCCCAAAGTGAGACAGTGACAGCTGTAGGGCTTGAAACCTTGTCCCAGTCTTGTGCTCTACCTAACAGGTAAAAGGCTCCACTGCAAACCCACACTGCAAACTTTCTGAGGACTTTCTTGCCTTTACAGCCTGCAAAGCATCAGGCGCTCCCAGTCTGTTATCTACATAGTGATTTGTTTCCAGTCTTGCAAATAAGATCTGACACAAAAGAGGTAACACTTAAATTCTGTAACATACGTTTAAATGTTCTCTCTAGGCTGCCCGTGTAAGAAGCTTTGCCAGCTACACCCGTTTTTTGGCAGCTGCTGCAATGACAGCTGAGAATGCAATATGATAAAAATGCCACTTCTGCAAAATAATCATGGCCCATGGGGTGATTCCCAGCAAGATCTTGTGAAGGGAAAGACTGAGCCAAAACACATCTGTTTGGGGCAGCATGAGGGCTGGAGAAAGCAAAGCATGTTGTGAATGTTAAGCCAAGCATGGTAAAAAGTAAATGGCTCAATAGCTCAGTTGTTTTAGCTGAAATGATTTGAGAAAACTTTGTGGAGCATGTACCTGTGGTATGAATTGATCAGATGACATGAAACCAGTCATTCCTGGATTTTGAAAGGGTGAAAACCAAAGGAAAATGACAACAGATTAGCACAACTGTCAGTTTGCTTTTCCTGCTAGAACCTTGATAGACCGTGGTTGATTGTTGTTTTAATTAATCAGAGGCAATCAGCTTGTAAGTACTGTGATTAACACAGCTTCTATTTAACCCCGTGTTGAGTTTTCCAAACAGTGTTTGTAGCAGTTCTGCAGAGCAGAAGGGGAGTCTCAAAGCTTTCAGGTAGAAGTTCCAGAAGCTGAAGATGGCTTCTGGTGCTAAGCTGCCCAGACTACCTTCGGCTGTAAAACAGCACAGCAGAATGCGGCAGTGGAAGTACAAATGGTTTTCTACTGGTTTTAGGAGAAGAAGAAATTTTTTTCTCTGAGATACCCAACTGGCAGTTTGACACATTGATTCCAAAGTGGCAGCCTGTGTTTAAGCTAATGGTAATTGCTTATATAAACTTCTATTTTCTTTTCTCTTCTCTCCATAGGTTTGCTGATCGGCTCTGGTTGTGCCCTCTATCCTCTTGGCTGGGACAGTGAAGAAGTCAGACAAACCTGTGGTAACCTTTCCAACCAGTTTGAGTTGGGTAAGTCACCATCAGAGCATCTCAGCCACATTAGACTCTTCTTTGCATTGTCCATAGAAGCAAATGAGGACATTAGCACAGGCTTGGAGAAGCAACCAGGTTGCGTGTGGTAGGATGTTCATATTGCGTCATTTTGGTGTGGTGCGAAGGCAGAGGATTTCAGATAGATATGCTGGAAATATTTTCCAGAAGAACATTATAAAAGAAAATCAAGGAATGTATGTCTGTATTTAAGATATCAGATCTAATAGTCTTGCAATACAGGAACTAACACTCCTGGAGATCTTGACAGGGTAGGCAGAGGCATCTCATCACAGCATAGGTAAGGGTAATTCACAATGAGTGCAATTAGCTGTCTTTGAAGTCTAGCGTGTTTATGGCCTTCAAACCCAAGCCTTAAGAGTATGGTTTTGGTTGCTCATATCTTTGGGAGCTGATAAATAACACTTGCTCCCTGTGTCAGCCTTTATCCAAACAAGCCACTGGTTTTAATGGTGATGTCTGCACTGAGAGCTGAACGAGAGCCAGGGATGTGGCCTAGCTGGGTTCACACCCACATGGTGTGGGGTGAACCACCTCCGGAGAGCTCATCAGGCTGCTACGAAACAAGGGGCCTAGCAGGGTGCTAAGGATTAAGCAGTGTGGATAATCAGGATCTGATGTTTGCTTGTGTATCCAGGTCCTTGTTTAGCTAGAAGGATCTGATGCAGCTGCTGATACCCTACTCCAAGTGTTCTTTGATCCTGTGTGACGTGAGGAAGAGGGGGGACTGCAGTCCTCCTGAAGGAGCAGGAGAGACTAAGCACCCCGACCCTCTGCAAGGTTTGGAGCTCCCACTCCCAGGCAGGGGCACACACACACCTCCCCTTTTCCAGCCCCTGCAAGCTAAACCGTATGGTTAGTGCTAGAAACCCTTTCCATAGCTGTGTGTGCAGGGCTTGTGGTAGCCCAGCAGTAATCTCAGTGCAAAGAACAGTGGACAAAAATGGTCTCCTGGAGTTAAACACAAACCTGCTCCATTATTTTTTAATTTTACGCTGATATTTCTGTCAGACTTTAGGAATAAGGAATTTCGTTTCTGTCTTGGAAATGTTTCTTGTGAAGATATGCAAATAAATTCAGGTTGAAAAGAAAAAAAATTATTTGGGAGAGATGCTCCAGGTCACCTTCCCTTACACCATTCCTGTGGTGTTTTGAGGTGCATTTGATCTGGCACGGGACCAGAAATTCTAATTACCAATATCAGCACCCATCTCTACCACTGCCTCTGATGTTATCAGCAGGCACTAATGGCATTGCTCAGGGGATGTGTAACATGCTCTAGAAGCTTTACCTTGTTATTTTCAAGTCTAATATCCTCCTGCACTATTGCTATTAAATTTTCTTTTCAGTGAAGTATGAAAAGTTCCTGCAACTTTATTATTCACCTAATAATTGAAGACATGAATACGAAGGAGAGAGAGCAATGAGAACAGAAATGTATAGCTAACTAGCAGAAGTGTCCCAAAACTAAGATTCCCAGCTCCATGGGAAAGTGTCTCAAAGGATTTAGTAGAAAGACTAGGCAAAACCCTGCAGTAACTGTAGTAGTGAACAGTCAGGTTCATCGCTGCCCCTGGTCAATCCTGTGCAGAAGCCTGAGGTAGGTCTTAGCCAACCCGTTTAGCAGCACCCCCATTTGAAAGGCCGGCCTGCCCCTCGCTGGTGCACGCTGATGCCTCCTTTTTCATACCAAGCATGAAATAACCTTTCCAGGTTATTTCTCTGCAAACTCACAAGAAGGTGGGTGTTGTGCCAGTCTGAGCTCATTGAAGGCAGCACTTAAGCAGTTACAAACTGTGATCTTAAACACAGTTGTGCCCGCAAGCAGAGCAGTCTCCGAGACCACCTTCGCCATCTCAAGCTCGAGTTGTGAGTCAGATATCTGCATAAATTGAATCACTCTGCCATTAAAGTCAGTGAAGAAACCCATGTGAAAGATTTCAGCTGACAGTTTTCCTTCCAGGTGCACATTAGGACCATGAGATATATTACATTAACTGTGAAGGCATGTACTCGTACTGTATATTCTGGACCTGGAGCATGCAGGACATGTGTTATGCGTGCCTAGACTTGACAAGAGTGCTGGTCTTGCCAATCTGCTGCAATCGTATGTTAACACATTAATTAACAGATTATAATGAGAGCTGAAATTTGCTGTAGTGATTTCCACCAGGCAGCTCTGCCGCTAAACATCTCTTTTCCACTTACACTGGCAGTGGATTTAAATGCTTGGCTAGGAATTTTTTCACTTACTGTCAGTGCCTGGTTAATGCTGTGTTAGCAAAATCGTCTGTAAAGAAGAGGTACTGTCCGAGGGCAGTTTAATAACCACACAGCTCATCGTCTTTCATAAATACCTTTTGGTTGCTGATAACCCAAACCCTCTAGTCTTTTCTGAATCATTAGAGACTAGCTTACTCATTATAGCCTACAGGCCAAAAATGATGTTTCAAAGGCTTAATCTCACTAAGTCTCAGGACAAATTTAAGTAATTATTGCTTTCATTTGAATATTTAATTTGATTAAGCTGCAATGATATGCTTTCTATTCCTGAGTCCATGAAATGAGTTGTCTAAAGAACCACATATATGCATGCTACATCCAAAATCTGCCCTCAGAAAAGCTGAGCTGCCATGAGCCCTGCACTGGTTTGCTGATGGGAGAAATGGTGGTGGTGGAAGTGCTGGTCCTGCACCTCCTACTGCTGTGGGTGCTATTGAGGATGACCTGGAGACCTTAATTTGGCACCTGCAGTTACTCTCAAAGGAGAAGGCTTCAAAGGGACGCCGATCAGCAGACAGCGTTCAGCCTCCCCTTTGAGAATGGCAGAGCAGCTGCTGCAGCCTGGGCCACAGGCAACATGTGCACACAGTTAGGAAAGTAGGGTCAAAGCACTCCAGCTTTGGGCACAGAGTTTGCAAAGGTGGAGGCTCAGCAGTGGGTGAGATTCGTCCTGGATTTGGAAAAGGTGACGGGGAAAAAGTGGTTGAGGTTGGAGGTAGAAAAGATAAGCCAGGAGCTTCAGTCTGCATTGTAGGAGGATGAGAATGAGAAGAGGCAGGTGCAGAGGAGGGACCGCAAGAACTCACTTTGAGAAGCAGCTGAACTGTGTACTGCAAAATGTAATGTTAACCAGAAATATTACAGAATTAGCAATTAAATTATTTTTTTTTGTTTACTGAAACAAGACAAACATCCAATCCTGTAACAGGCTCATAACTAGACAGAATAAATAAATATCAGTGTAAAGAACCCATTAAAAAGCCTAATCCTTAGTGGGTAGGCTGGATAAAAAGTGCCTCTTCATGTCTTCAGGCACTCTGAAAAGACATTAGACTAATAGGCACTCAAAATAGTGCTGAGATAGCCCATATTGTGAAAAGGGATCCCATCTCTCCGCCCCCACCAAACATACACATTTCTGTGTACATCCCAAAGCAATATTTTAAAAGGCTGCAGGAAAAATAACCATGCTTTTAATTTATGTATAAGTGGATTTGGGTATTCTTTTCTAGAAAACCTGAGCCGACATTGTGAAATGCCCAGCAGGTTGCTGCTCTCTTTAAAATTGGATATTTATTTGTTTTTTATTAAGTGAACGATGTCCAAAGGGTTTACTTAAACATTTATGTATTTAATTGGGCTAATTCTTTTTCAATTAGACGGCAGTCTTCATACAACTCAATCTCTACAAAGAGGAATCATTCTTCAACTGAGGATACCCTGCCAAGGACAACCCCATTTGTTGATTAAATTGCATTCAATAGATGAGCTGTTTGCTAATGAGGATGGGGACTAAACTCCATAAATAGGCAGACAGATAGACTGGTGCACTTGCTGTCTGCTTCTCTCTAGCAATCCATTTTTGCCATCATGAAAATAAGCACAGTGCTAGATTAGGGTTTTGACAAGTGACCTCTGGCAAATCTTGTTGGGGTGGGAGTTTAAGGCCATGATAGGTCTGTGTTGTGTTCCTCTGCTTATGGTTTCCAGCTTCCTGGCAGTCAACAGGACCTGTATAGAGGTCCTGAGACCCCACTCCGTATTGTCGCATCCCATCTCACATTGCAGATGAAGCAGAGTTCCCACTGAATCAGCAGACTATGAACTGGAGCAGTCTTCTGCCTCTGTTTTTGGGGTGATAACTCCTAGAAGTAGGGCAATATATATAAATGGAGGCAAGAGAAAAGAGATGTATTATGTTTTAAACTAGTGCAGTTTTTTGCTCAGTGACCAAGTCGAAGTCCTTCATCTAATTTGGTCACAGGCTAATGCCTGAGGTGGAGACTGAGGTTATAAACTAGCAGTGCTCGAAGGGACTGCTTTTCACTTTTACCAAATGCCCGAGGATGGATAAAAATAATCTTAATCTCTTGTCACCTTGCAAGCTGTTATTATTGTGGTGCATTATTTATACCCTGGAGTTGCCTGCGGGCCCACTCAGGGCAGCACTGACGTGGCACAGGAGTATGGAGCTGCTGACTGAAGGGTGTGAAAGTGACTCAGATCTACACAGTCCTGTGGTCTGCAAAAGGAATTAGCAGGCAATTTCCCAAAAGCAAGGATCTTTATAGAGTATCATATAGCACATATTCAGTTTTGCTGAGCTAGAGGTACTACACTGTTTTATTTTTATTTCTTAATGTACCACACAAGAATAACAGCTGAAAAACTGAGGTCTTTTGCAGGAAATTCATTAAAGTGAGGGACCCTGCATTAAAGTGAGAGTATGCATTGAAGTGAAGACTGCACCAGACATTTGCAAAAACATCCACATTTTGCAAAACTTGAACTGTGTCAAGAAAACTTCTGAACTTGCATATCTTTTTTAAAGGGCAGTGTGAGCGTATACGTGTGAATACATTAGGATTGGTTTTGAAGATCTAAAATCAATAAAAGACTTCATTTTAGGGCATTGATGTCCGTGGATGTGCATGCAGAGGCTACTTAGTCGTTGC